CTCTCTCTCTCTCTCTCTCTCTCTCTCTCTCTCTCTCTCTCTCTCTCTCTCTCTCACACATAACGAGTTCTCTCTCATAACGGGTTCTCTCTCATAACGGGTTCTCTCTCATAACGGGTTCTCTCTCATAACGGGTTCTCTCTCATAACGGAACGGATGGCACAGGAACAGGAACAGGAGGAGCCTCACCACTTGGCCGGCCCAGTCGAGGCCCGGACCGTACACCCATGAGGTCCCCGGCTGGAAGATCAGTGGATGTGTTGAACCTTCCTGTAGCACTGCCCATCAGCAAGACTTCCATGGTGTCACCTCAGAGTAAGGTGCAGCTGAAGTTCTCACAATCGTTCCACTGAACATGTTCTCCTTCCGGCCTCTCTGTGCTGACCACTTCAAGATCAGTGGGTTGCCTACGTCGTAACAGAACCCCGACGTGTGCGAAAGCAGCTGCCTAGGATCCGACGTCAGCTGTGTCATGTTTCCTTCTGCATCGCACCACCGCAGAGCGAAGGGACAGGAAGAACCCGACACTCACCGCAGGGTAATCTTCCCTTTGACATCCTCGTAGATGGGCTCTCCCCTGGGCTTGATCTTCTCGAAATCAACCTTTCCACCGGCTCTCAGGGTGGCGAGGAGCTCCAGGTCGTCGGCCGTCTCATTCTCACCCTCGAAGCCAAGGAGGACTTTCACATCCTTGAGCGCGGGCACAATCTCGCGGACGTCATCGTCCAGACCGACCAGCCCCTTTTCGACCAGTTGCATCGCAGCCACCGAGGTGACCAGCTTGCTCTGACTGGCGATCCATGTCAACGTGTCCGGCGTCACGGGTTCGGATCTGTCAACTTTCCTGCTGCCGAAGGAAGAGCGATAGAGATCGTTGCCTGGCGTAATTAGCACTGAATAGCGCTCAGTGAAGATCAAAGCCAAGGCTACTGGTAGCTAGAGGTTTGATCGAAGCCCAGACTCTACAAAGTACGCACACACCTTTGCTATCAACCGCAACGAACGTGGCGCCGTGCACAGAACCCGTGGCGGGGTCGGTGTACCGCTTGAGAATCTCGTCCAACTCGGCCATCTTGATAATACCTCGTCTTGCTTCTAGGGTTACGCCCGAGACCGCCAACCGACTATGTGGATACGTATGTCAATGCAGGAATGTCACATTTATACCCCCCATTGCTCGGTACCGTAGGCGGTACTCCGCTTAGCCGTGCGGTGGTCGCCCGATCGCCCGATCGCCCTTGGTGAGATCTCTCTGCTTCTTTGGATGCTGACTAATAATGTAGCCCGACCCCACTGGGTGCCACTTCCTGGTGTTTTGCTGCGCCGCGAGCATTTACAGAACGGCAACGAGATAAATATGTCGTGGAGAAGGTGATGATTTGAGGTCTCCAACCCTGATGCCACTTCTTTGTCAACGACAGTTTCCTCGCCTGTCAAGCGTTGCATCCCATATCTCTGCCGTCTCCGTGTCAATACGCCAAGGTGACGTCGACTGTGTCTGCGTCAAATGACGACCCAGAGAACCCCATTTCGACCTCTGCATTCTCTAAAATGATGCCGGCACGGTATGCGGCGTCCAGAGTCATAGATGGGCCAATGATATCATCTGCGCCAACATGTATTCCGTGAAGCAGGCAAGAACATGCTAATCCGAGATGGACAGAACACCGCCAGCGCTGTCCTTGGGCCCGATACTGGAAGCGCAAGATCCTACCTAAAGAAATTGTAGCTGGTGCTGTACAGTACCTCGATGGAAGTCTGATGAGAATCCGATGAGTGCACTAAGAGAAACACCAAACAAGTTCAATTGATTCGCGCGGCGCGTCAAAGCTTCAGCGATAAGCGGTTCAATCACAGCAACCGCCAAGGGTCGTTGAGGTAAGCAATAAGTCCTAGGGTTCGACGCAAAGTGTGAGGCTGCTCAGGCGATCAGCAACTAAGATGATAGAGCCTCTTCTTGACGATTCCAACCTGAGACCTCGATTACTCAATCTTGAACCCTTTGTATACTCGACTGCATCACCATGCTCGTAACTTCCCGTGAAGTACTGTAAAGTGCTGCGTAGTCTTGCCATTATGCTTTCTCGCAGCGTGGTGAAGGAATCATCAGATAACACGCCGCCAAGCGACCCGCGCCAGCCCACAAAGCTGAGACCAGGCACTCGAACAATGCATCACCGGTGCATATGCTGTTCGAATCATCAACCTGAGTCGGTCTATGTCACCGAGCAACGGTGGGTCCGGTCAGAAGTACAATATGTCCGCGTCCTCTCAGCCTCAGCTTCGACCTCTGAGGTCTCCTCAGACTCACTCGCATCATGAAGTTCTCTTCTATGCATCTTGTCCTGGCCGCGGGCTATATGACACGCTGTGCAGAAGCTCTCGGCACGTTTAAACTCGACTTCACCAGAGAACGCCGCGCAGTTACCCATCTGGGGAAGAGAGGAAAGGCATTTGAGGTACCATTGGTCGAGAGTTCGCTCTACTTGATCAATGTTACTGTTGGGAGTCCTCCACAGGTGCGTAATTACATTGCAAGGTCAACAGCGGAAACCAGTATCAGGTCGTTCCCTGGCGGTCGCCGTGAACCTCAATTGAACATAGCCCGTGTGATGCATTCACAGAGTTCAGTCGACATAGACTTTTCGCTAACTTGCGCTGATAGACTATCTCCTTGAACGTGGACACTGGCTCGAGTAACACCTGGTTCCCCTCTGTCGACTCCAATGCATGTCAAGCTGCAAATGGGTCATGTGCCGATGGCGTCGCTTTCGATCCAAACGAGTCGTCATCCCTCCGGTACCTGAGCAACGGCTCCTTCGCAGTCGCATACGGCACGGGTCAGGCGACCGGAGACTATATCTCAGACAGTGTGAAAATTGGGCCTGCCACAATCAATAACCTTACGCTGGGATTGGCCGCCAATCTGTCTGCACCCTTCGCAAACGGTCTGTTGGGCATGGGTTATGACAGTCTTGAAACCCTGGCCGCAAGTTCTGGCATTCAGTTCCCCGGTGTCCTGACGAGGCTTAAGCAGGCGGGCGTCATCGCAAGACGAGCCTTCAGCGTGTACCTGGATGACCAAGAGGCTGGTGTTGGTAGCATTCTCTTTGGTGGTATCGACACTTCGAAGTACACGGGTGATCTGGTCGCGGTGGCAATCACCCCCAACGGGACAGGGGTCTACGATCGGTATCGCGTTGACCTCACCGCGGTCTCATTCCTCGACAGTGCCGGCAAGTCGACCCTTCTCAGCCCTGCGATTATGTCTGCGCCCTGCGCAGTCGATACGGGTGCGTCCTACAATATCCTCCCAGCTTCAATCAGCCAGGCACTTGTGGAAGGCTTGGGTGCGGTCTCCTATGCTGGAGTCTACTTTGTGGATTGCGCACTTCGTGACAGCAATACAAGCGTGCTGTTTCAGTTTGGTGGCCCGGGTGGGCCGATCATCAGAGTCCCCATCAGCGAAATGCTTGGTGTTCCGTTGGGATTCACCTTCAACGATGGCCGTAATGGGTGTCAGCTGTACGTCGGTCAGGTGGACGACGCGGAACTTCAATCGCTCCTGCTCGCTGGATTCACGATCGGCGACCCAGTCATTCGTTCCGCATACGTGGTGTACGATGTGGACAACAACGAGATCTATCTCGCCCAAGCAGCATTCAACAGGACGGGGAAGGGGAAGGTCCAGGAGATCCCTGCGGGCTCGGGTCTCCCGAGCGTGACGTCGACTGCTACTGCGACTGCGTCCTCGTTCCCTACTTCCTTCCCTCCATCCATACTTTCTGAAATCTCCGTGAGCCTGCTGTCGAACCAAACAGCGTCGTCTCCAGGGCTGACTGCTACCACGCAACTTCCGACCACGCCTACGTCGCCCTCTTTCGACATCGCAGCAATCACTGGAAGCGCGGCCACTACGACGTCAACTTCTTCAGCAGCAGCAAGCCGCAGCAGCTTTGACGCCGGCATCAACACGATCGCCGGTGCTATCGTCCTGCTTTTCATGCCATGGATCACCCTGATCCTATGATTCAGAAGCGCGACGGCGGAGCTGGAAGAGGCATGTTCTGTGCCAAACCGCAGTTTGAGACTGGTCGGGTCCTAAAGTAGGGGATTGGTAGTTTTCGCATCCGAAGTGGTGATGTACGAGTACACAAGGCTCGGATCCGATCGTGGGGTTGGCAGCTTGGAAGGCACGGCAAACACGGCGTTGTCGGCGTAGTTCCACCAACAAAGTTTCCCCACCACGATCAACCCAACATCTGCCCCTCCTTTTCCCTTTTGCTCATCCTGAGCTAAACTCGGTCGGCACTTCAACGTCGACCGTCATGAGCCTTCCACGGCCTTTGAGCGGCCATGCGATTGCGAAGGTGGGGGATGCTCTATGGGGGTTCGACCACGGAGTAGATGATCCCTCCGATGATCTCTCCGATAATCGCCCATGGTGAACACGGGGCGGATTGCCTGGACCCTTGCATATGAAATGTTTGCATTGAGGGGATGTGTTTGCAACACCGTGGGGCTCTTGAGTCTGAAGTGAAGTGAGAGTGAGAATGATTTTCTTTTCCGCCTTGCTTTGAAATTCTTCACGGGCAATCTTCTCACCGTTGACTCTCTTCCCTTTGACATCTTTCTCCTTCGCTCGCAAGACTCTACTTGTGACTCTCTTGTTCTTCGCAACAAGCATCTCCTCGCTTGTAAACACATCATCTTCCTTGACTCGAACCTGGCATCTCTTGCTCCTCACACTCGCCTCACCCAGCTTCAACACCAGTTCTCGTCACCCAAAATGCCTTCCAAAGCGACTCATATTATCCGCTTCATCGCCGACGAGGACAACCGCATCCACCTCGGCCAGTTGGTCGACACGTCCCGCGACATCGGGCTCGACAGTCTCGAAGGCAAGGAGATCAAAGCCTACCTGATCAATGGCTCGATATTCGCCCCAGAGGTCACAGAGCACGTTTATACCGTCAAGCAACTGCTGAGCCCTGTCAGCCAGGAGGACTGCAACTACATCCGGTGCCTGGGGTTGAACTACAAGGACCATGCCGCGGTACGTTGTATTTCCGCAATCTCTGCTCAATTCTTCCACGATTCTTTTCATGGAAAACTTGCGAGGCCAAGGACAAGACCACGAACACAAGTCTGACAACGAATAGGAAGCAAACATGGCCCTACCCAAAGCTCCCATTCTCTTCACAAAGCCCCGAACCGCGCTCGCAGACCCGTACCCGTCCGTCATTCCGGTCCCCAAGGCCGCTCAGGACGGCACCTCCGACTACGAGGCCGAGCTTTGCGTGGTCATCGGCAAGAGTGGGCGAGACATCCCTGAAGACAAGGCGCTCGATTACGTCTTGGGATACACGGCCAGCAACGACGTCTCGGCCCGAACCATGCAGATGTTGACGACTCAGTGGTCGTTCTCCAAGGGGCTAGACGGCAGCTGTCCGCTCGGCCCCGTGTTGGTGACCAAGGACGCGATCCCCGATCCGCAGAACCTGAAGATCAAGGCCATTTACAATGGGCAGACCGTGCAGGATGGCAACACCAAGTGAGTGATTGACTTGATATTGCTCGGATTCTGAGATATTGCTCGGATTCTGAGATATTGCTCGGATTCTGAGATATTGCTCGGATTCTGAGATATTGCTCGGATCCTGTGATATTGTGCTTTCACCCAACTTCTACTGACTTTTGCATTTCCAGGGACATGATCTTCCCGATCGCCAAGCAAATCAGCTATCTCTCCCAAGGCACCACTCTCGAGGCAGGCACCATCTTCCTCACCGGCACCCCTGCGGGGATTGGCTTCTTCCGCAACCCGCGTGTTGTGCTGGAAGATAAGGGCGACATCAGAATCGAGATTGAGAAGATCGGCACGTTGATCAACAAGGTCAGATATGAAGAATGGTGAGAGCAGATATGATTGATGAAGAGTGGTGGTGGGCTTATGATGTCTTTTGGGGAAAGCAGAAGAAGGGATTGAAAAGATGCATTGGGGGATCGAGAGATTGACCGTCCTGGCCTGTCATGTCATGTCACGTCACATCAATAGTGGTCGACGTGGGATCAGTGAGTGGATCTCACAGGTGTGATTCAATCTGGAATGAGCTACCTACCTACCAGCGAGATCACGACACGGTGGACGGTATCTGGCAGCAAGGATTTTCAGCGACAATGTGAATATAAACACCTGGGGCTGAGGTGAGAAGAACTCAAATGATATACAGTAGTTAGTACGTCGATTGCCAGGGTTCGAACACGGCCGCGATCAAAGCCTCGTTCAAATGACCAGTGACTGTTGACCAGTGGCCGTTAACTATTGACTGTTGATCATCCAGCGAGGAGAGCTTCGATTGTCCCAACGACCAACGACCACACACACCTACACAGTCCAGACTGACTTATCGTGTTTGAGACGTTGTTAGACTGTCCCATTCTTATACCATCTCCTTATACCGTCTCCTTCTTATCCTGTCTCCTTCTTATACTGTTCCCTTCTTATACTGTCTCCTTATCCTCTCTCCTTATGCTGTCTCTCTATACTCTCTCCCTATACTGTCTCTCTATACTCTCTCCCTTGTGCCGTCTCCTTCCTGATCATATGGTCCCAAATGCACCGTACGACTCCGAACCGACCATTCGAAAATACAACATCCACCCAAAGCCAGCATAACAATCAAAGGAACTTGTAATAAAAGGGCGATTTCCGTCACGAACAGATACCTGTAGATACCCCGTCGTAAAGCTACAGCTAAAGCCACATCAGCACTTATCGCCAAGCCAGATACAGTGAGTCGGGAAGCATATCTGTCTCGCACCCTCACCGCATGAGAGAGAGACTCTTCCTCTCCTCATCTCATGCTTCGAGTCTGACTCAAGTACCTAGTGAGGATACACCTAGGTATAGTCCAGGAATAACCTAATACCTGAACTGTTACTGAATAGATATGCTCTCTAGCTACTATGTATTCACATCCACGGGCCTATTCCTAACAGATTTAGTATCAGTATCAGTATCACGTTCAAGTCAAAGTTAAACTTCAATTTCGTATCAAATCCCAGCTAATAGCTAACAGCTAAAACTCCGTAAATAACTGCATTTACTTAGGTACTTGTGGCGTCGAGCTGTTCAGACAGCTAGATACAGTCGTCGAGAACCCGCCCCATAAATCCCACACTGGCCCGAGTCAACATTCCACATTCCACATACTCCGTACATCGTCAGATAATGTCGGTAATGTCGGTAATGTCGGTGATATCGTGCAATCACATGTATCCCTATCCCATCTTTGCATCCCACATCTCATGTCGCTTGCATCAGCCATTCTGTGAAGCACACACCTTCACCTCTTACTCTGATCCTCGTGGTAGAAGCGTGTCCTCGGGTCTCACTGCTGTGCTCCGCTTTGCTCCCTTCTCCTCTACCCCTCTTCACAACATCCCATGCATGCCACGACTTTCTGCCGCTCCCACTCGTTCTTCGTGTGACAACCCCCCCTCACTCCAAGAACGAAGACGGCACCTCGGGCCCCCAGACGGCCAAGCCCTCGTGCTCGGCGGGACCGTAGCCGACGGGGGTGTCCTCGTTGACCAGGTCGCCGTCGGCGTAATGCTCGACCATGAACCCGGACACGTCCCACCAGTAGTCGAAGATCTGGCTGCCGAGGATGTGGCGGCCGACGCCCCAGACGGACTCGTACTTTTTCTCGGCGAGCCACTGGTGGCCCAGCAGCTGGGTGTCAAAGTCGTGCACCTCGTACGACGAGTGGTGCACGTGCTTGTCCTTGCCCGGCACCGTCGTCGTCATGAAGAACGTGTGGTGGTCGACGGGCGTCTGGCCGCGGTCGATGCTCCCGAAGAGCGCGACCTCCTTACGTGCGGCCTTGCCCGTGGCCGGGTCGACCTTCTCTTCCGACACGTACAGAATGTCGGACGGGTAGATGTTGAAGTTGCGCGTGTACCAGTCCATTTGGGCGGGGAAGTCGTCGACGTTGATGCCGAAATGGCCGAGCTGGGGGGAACGTCAGTTAGTCGGTTAATCGTATAGGTGGCTGTGTTGACGTGGCTGCTAGCTAGCTAGCTAGCTAGCTCACGCCTCGAACACCACTCACCTTGTGCACGGCGGCCGGACCGGGCTCGTACCGCTGAAAAGCCTTGACTCGAGGCTTGTCCGTCTCGTCGTTGACCAGCAATTTCCCGGGCTTGGCCCTCTCCTCCTTGACCTCTGCTTGCCCGTAGATGAAGTTGACGGGGAACCCCTCCGGGTCGGCGATGGACACAATGTAGCCTCCGCCGGGGGCGTCCTTCATCTCCTCGATCCCGTCCGTGAGCACGGTGGCGCCCTCGATCTTCAGCACCTTCTCGAGCTCTTCCTTGGATTCGACCTCGAACGAGCCGCCGAGGAACTTCTTCGGCCCCTGCCGGGCGTAGTAGACGTATTGGTCGGGCCCGTAGCCGCGGAACCATCGCTCGTTGTCGCCCTTTTTCACCACGTGCATGCCGAAGTCTGTGTCGTGGGGTTGCAGTCAGCAGACATAGAACGTGAAGGAAGGCCACCGTCCACGGGGGTGTTACCGTACCTCTCAAAAAGGTCGTCGCCTTGTTCAGGTCGGGATGTTGATATCGCATGTGATTCAACTTGACGATGCGGACTTGCTTGGACGTGTCGATGCCCCGCCGTTTCTGCCACTCGCGCTTGCTCTCCGAGTCTGGTCCTATGGCGTCGACGTCCCGGACGGAGGCGCCCCGGTTGGGAGAGGGGCCTCTGGAGATGGTGCCATTGGCGTTTGTCTTTTTTTTCGTGCGAAGTCCAAGTTAGCACTGTGTATCCCGAAGAACGAGCACGAGCGCGTGCGTGTGTGGCAGAAAGAAGAGACCGACCTTGTCGCCCTTCTTCAGAGCATCCTCCGTGATGTTATGCTTCAGCTGGTCTGGCTGATTCATTGCGGCGGCGGTGCGAGGACGTGCGCAGTGAACTCGGTGCAAAGTGAACCCGTCTGGTCGATAGACGACGCGGGAGGTTATCTTCCACTGTCAATGATCGACGTCGTGGCAGGGAGCCAAGTGGTATAAGAATCACTTGAACGGTCAAAAGTAAGCACGAGGTATCAGACCCTTCAACTGAACAGTCAAAGTCGAGAATCTGACGCTGAGAAAAAGGCCTGAAGCTAATCCCTCAGAGCAAGACGTACAGATCCGTTTTTAAAAAAGCAAAAGAGATCAAACACGCGCGCAAACGCAAGGATGATTCAATCAACGAGCCACTGATTTAATTAATGTAATTACCCCACAATGAACTGTTCCGCGAAGTTAGTCCGTTGTGGCCGCGCAGTGTGCAAAGGGCCCAGGCCAGACAAGAGCCAGCCATCGATGTCAGACATGCCCCATCATGAAAAGCCGATGGAAGCATGCCCAATGGAGCATATTGGTAGCGAGGAGCGAGGGGCGCGTGTGTGGCTTGGATGTGTCAGGGTGTGTGTGTGTACTGGGTAGAGTAAGATCCAAGGTGGGAGCATCAACGTGGAACGCACGACGTCAACAACCATGACGGCCGACAATCACCGTCCCCGCAGTTGATCAGTCGAACACGGTTTCATTCATGGTTGTTGGGAGATGCTACAAAGTACGACTCGGTATTTCCCCAGCTTCCTTGAGGTCGGACGCAGCTCGTACAGACACCAAAGTGTTACTGTATCTGTCAGCACTCGCGGACCATTCCGTCGCAGGGAGATAGATCTGCTCGAGTCGTGGTATCATTGTATCGACCTGGAGGCGAATGCCAAACTGCCCCACGATCTGCCGAAAATGCAGCGAGGCCGACGATGTGGGGTCGCTGTTTCGGTGCGTGGTGGGACACTTGGCTGATGGAAACACCGCGAGACAAAGACTGGGCTGGTGAGAGATGCCCAGGGCCGGCCCTGTGTCAGACCAAGCCACCGGAGCTGGTCGCATGATTCGGGCGAACCATCAGCGTTACACGTCGGCATACTCGTACTTCTGCCTGACGAATCGAGCAATTTGTCGACGGTTGCAGAAATCGGCATAAGCAGGCGTCGATTCATTATATACAACATTACCACTCATTCTCGTGATCCGCACCACTTCATTACACCCGGCGTCTCACCGCACACCACATCAGTAGCTGGAATCCTGCATGGTCGTGAACGGTCCGACTGTTCCCAAGTCAGGAATGCGACCCAACAAGAACTCGAGCTGTCGGTAAGCCGCAGAAGGGGCGTATTGAGGGACCATGTGCCCAGAGAGTTGGACGGTGACAAGCGTCAAGCCTCTTTCCGTATGATATTGCCCCATCACGCCGGCACCAGCGGTCGATCCCAGTTGAGAGTCGTATTCGACGTGGTATGGCACGTAAAAGTCATCGAACTGAGATGGCGGGACGGAAAAACCTTGTGCACCGTTGAAGGTCATGTTCTGGATGGCGAGCAAGGTCCCGTTGTAGATCAGGATCATGTCGAGCAATCCATGGCCGATGATGGTGCGATCGGCCCTCTCAATCACGCGTGGAAGCACGCTCAGTGCCGAGGGTGGTGAGTTGTCTGTGTTGTTGACAAAGACATCCACGTTGGTGCATTCCGCCCACTCCTGGCTCGGAGCATGGATGGCTTTTTGAACATCGGTACGATTGAAGTAGATGCTTGCGCCCTCCGGGACGTAGTCGAAGGAGCCAGGGAACCCGAGCACGTCCCAGAGTAGCGGACACGTGGTTGCCACTTGGTAGATATCAAAGCAAGGGTTGATGGCGGAAGCGGCAAAGAAGACCGCGTCGAACGTGTCGCAGGAGTCATCGCTCAGGTCGACGTTGGGAGGCGTGGGCAGCGGTCCCTTGGGAGGAAAGACCAGGTTGTCGTTCATGAAAGATGTATATCCGCAGGCGTCCGACATATTGTGCAACTGCTCCATGAAGGTGGCGTTCAGGTCTAGGAGAGGCAACCAGTAGTCGGCGAAAGCAGTAACCGGAATATGTTCCTGCACAACATCGTAGCTCAAGCTGGGATCGTAGATCATGATCGAGCTGATGTTGTAGTACTCGGTGTCGTCTGCGTTGAACATGGCATCTGCGATGTAAGGCACATAGTAGCCGGCATAGGACTCCCCTGCAATGTAGACGGTGTAGCCCTGCATCGAGAACAGGTCGACGAAGTTCTTGAAGAATCCCAGGAATTGTGACGCGACGTCCGCTTCCGATGTCGCCGTGGGAGTCCCCTGGGAGAAGCCAGTGCCGACGGGTTCTGATTCACAAAGTCAGATCATCACACGCCCAAACAGGTCTGTCGTCAAGGCTTACGCTCAACCCAAACCATGTTCGTCAAGTTCGTCCATGACCATTGATTACGGACGGGCTTGAATGTGCCATATTGCCACAAGAAGGGTCCATTTTCTATTCGCCAGTGTCAGAAAACGATGGCAAGCCTGTCTCAGCTAAGCTCACCTTGAAGGAAGCCTTCCAAAGAACTGCAGCCGGGCCCTCCGTTCAACCAGATAACGATTTCGTTGGTCGCATCGGGGTTGGTCGAGGGAAAGAACCAAAAGTATAGTTCTGATGCATTCGTCCCATTCGATATGGGTAAAAGGCCGGCATAGGATTCGCCGACGTCGAAATCGACATCCGGGATCGTGCTGCCGTTGACCGCGTATTCTGCAACTCGTTAGATATCTCTAGCGCTTCACAGTTTGCCGGCAACGTACTCTTCGTGTTGTCATTCAAGAAGAGGTGTGGAGCCGCCCTCTCCTCAAGCTTGGGCGCAGCAGACCTCGATTGAGGTGCAACACTCCTCTTGATCTCTGGAAGAGTCTTGCCCACATGCTGAGGGCTCCTCTTTGCGGAGGCGAGCGAGATCAGGCCCAGCGCCACGGCAGCGATTGAAAACCTCATATTTGCGAGCAGCTGCACAGAAAGAGTCTCTCACGAGAAGTCGACCGAGAGCAGCAGGAGGGAAACCAGCCAACAAATAAAAGGACCAAAGTCGGTGGACACCGGCCACGACCCTCCAAGCTTCACGATCGTTTGCTTGACCCATGATGAAAGCTTCGCCTTGAGTTCCTGGCTTCGGTCTCCACTCTTTGACGGCCATCGATGCAATCCTTGTTCGCGCGGGAAGGTGATTGATCGATAACGAGATCATGCAGCTGGACCACTGGCAAGGCGACCGCCCAAAGCCGAGCTTACCCTGGTGCTGTCGCCGCAAGGATGTACAGAGAGTGGCATTGCAACGTCGTGAGGTCGGCGCTATGCACGCTTGGAGAAGGTCAAGCTGTATCTGATGACGCGCGCGAGACCAGGAAGATGGCAGTCGGGCAGTAGCCGGGACGTGACCTGGAGAAGGATCTGCTAGGGGAACGGTTTATCGCCCTCGTTGATTCGTCGACGGTGAGATCGTGTGCCTGCTTTCAAGCATCAGATAACAATCCTGGTGCATGCTTGCTAGCCATGTAACCTACCCACGGACTGTTCTCCACCAGAGCTTTGGCGAATGCCTCGGTTTGTCTGCGTGTTTGGTGGTGAGAGGGATGATTGATTGACTCGGGCCGCGAAAGTCCCTCTGTAAACGAGGCTGATTGCGCAGCATCTGGGAGATCACGTCTTGCGTTCTAAGAGGGCGGCACGACTGATGAAAGGTCAAGTCTTGATACCACAGGAGATGAGAGTGATTTGGAAGGTGTAAGAGGCGGGCCAGTCGGAAGGAAGAGCAAGTCACAAATCAAAGAGGCGAAGAAACGATAGCGGCAAGTTGCAGCCCGGAGCCCCAACAACCCGACTACTGTACGGAGTAGCCTTCCCTGGCTATAGTCTCGGGGGCGCCCCCGTGGCCCCTGTAAGCCTTGCCCCGGCGGTGGCAGCCAGTCCCCAGGCTTGCCGGACCTTCGAGAAAAGCTTGTCGTCCCCGCTGTGGCACGTCGCCACCCTCCAAACCCATTCAAGCAGGTCATCAGTCACAGTGCTCTCCAGATAGGAAGGTCTCTAGGCATCAAGCAGAAGGAAGTCATAGCCGACTGAGGTCGCAGTGGAATAGTCCGATTACTGAATATGTGAAGCTCGGCGGCTGTGCCTGGTAAAGAAAGCTGTGCTCAGACTGTCTCCCCTTCTCTGTTGCATGCTTGCGCCATATGGGAACAAGCACAAAGGCAAGCGAGGCTTCGAAGTACAGGCACATAAATCTTCCGATTGGCTTCCTACACGGCTGGCGTTGGCGAGGCCTGGTGGCTGGCTGAATGACAGGCAGCCTTGTCGATCTGGTGCACAACCCTCATCCCGGCAGCGCGCATCCGTCTCCTCTTGGATCGCTGCCTCCGCTAAAGACCATCTGGCCAGTTTCCTCATCCACATGCCGACGGATAATTTGTCCTCGGCCGAACATGGCCCTCTTGAAGCCGTGGAGGACCTCGACGTTGTGTCCCATCTGCTTCAGCGCCTTCACGACGGCCTCGTCGATTCCCTCTTCCACGTTGATCACCGTACCATGTGTGTCGCCTTCTTTGGGCATGCCTGCACCAATGCATATTCTCGGGGCGTCGAGTGCCTGTTGCGGGTTCAGACCGAAAACCTCCATGTTTAGCAAGACTTGGACGTGACCCTGCGGCTGCATAAAGCCCCCCATGACACCATATACGGAGTGAAGTTGTCGATCGGCTTCTTCGCCGTGAGTGATTAAGCCGGGAATGATGGTGTGGTAAGGTCTCTTCCCGCCTTGGTAGATGTTGGGATGATTCTCGGGCCCCAGCTCGAAATTGGACCCTCGGTTCTGGAGTGTGAATCCACAGCCTTGAGGGATGATGCCAGATCCGAATCCCTCGTAGTTGGAGTTGATGAAACTCATTCCATTTCCATCTTTATCAGTGACGGCGAAATAGACCGTGTCGCTGTGGTTTTGGGCCGGGCTGGGTCCAGGTTGTCCGTTGTCAAAGTGACCAGCCTTGTCCTTGTTGAAAAGTTTCGCTCTCTCCGCCAGATAAGGTCGGGATATCAGTTCTGACGACTTGACTTTCATGAAATCTGGATCCGTCACCCACCAGCTAGCATCAGCGAATGCTATCTTGAGTGCCTCGATAACGGCATGCAGGTGGATAGCGCTGTTGTGGTCTTCCTGGGCAAACGCAGGGATTTGATGGGTCCGTTCGAGTTCTTCCAGTATACCGAGAGCCATCAACGCAACGATGCCCTGGCCGTTGGGCGGATGCTCCCACAGCTCCACAAAGTGGTTGTCTGGAGACCCGTTGGTCACCCTGTGCGTGCCTTGTTTCTTGACGTTTTGTGCACTGAATTTCAGAGAGATGGGCTCGGTCTCCTGGGCGCCTCGACTCATATGGTCCTCCAGATCCGACAACTCCATGTGCCCGCCTGTGAGCTTCAGGACGTCTACGATTGCCTGGCCAATCCGTCCGCTGTAGAAGCCCTGCTTTCCTTCTGCTGCCAATGTTCGGAACGTCTTGGCCAGGTTGGGGTTCCTCATAATCTCACCAGCACGGGGAGCCCGGACGAAATCCTCAGAATTCTTGTCTCTCTTGAGCATCTCGCGGAAATTGGGCGACGCCCGTCTGAGATCTGGCTCGTGGTCATGCCACTTTTCACGAGCATGTCAGTTCCCGGGCCACACGCAGAGTTTAGAGCATAACCAACCTGCATCGCTGCCAATTCGCTCACGGGAAAGCCTTGCTCTCCCATTTCAATTGCGGGTGTCAAGATTTGCTCCATGCTCAACTTGCCGCTCCCAAACTTCTCGATGGTGTCGACCCACCCACCCGGTGCACCTGGAACCGTCACGGATAATGGGCTATGTGTTGGAATCTTGCCTGAGCTGACCCCCAACTCTTGCCTGACCTGCTCGAGAGTGGTATTCTTTGCGCTGCGTCCCGAGCCGTTGAGCGCATGTACTTTCTTTGTCTCTGCGTCAAAGAATAGACAAAACATGTCTCCGCCAATGCCTGTCGAGGTCGGCTCGGCCATGTTCAGTGCGGCGGCTGCGGTACGCTGTCAGCACGAGTGTGGTAGAGACAATATCGACGTCGACATACCGACGGCCACCGCGGCGTCCTGATGTCCGTGTTGTCAGCAGCCTGAGCAGTCCTTGTGGCGGGGGTGGTGACTTACTGCTGCATTGCCTCCCTGCTTCAGTATCCTCTGCCCCGCCTCTGCGGCCAGAGGCTGTGTGCATGCGACGATGCCCTTAGTGCTATGAACCACACTCCTTCGACTAGCGAACTGTACGAACTGCGCCGTGTTGCCGGGGAACACGGCCTCCCTTTTCATGTCTTTCCCAGTTGAGCCCATCTTGGTGTTTGCCGTGGGTCGATCAATGGGAGCTAGGTGGAGAGGGGTTATAGGACTGCAGCAACGCTCGAAGATACCGGGTCAGGATGGCCTCGGTGAGGGAGGACACCACGGGTCAGCAATGAGACGCGGACACATATACTCCCCAATGGATTTGGGCGACGGCGAGCAGTCCATCGGGGATCATCACTCTGCGGGAAGATGTAGATAAATTACTTAACCGCTGCCCCTCTATGACGTGGAGAAACACCATGCATCTTCGACAAGAGGGGAAGGAGCAAATGAGTGTTAACACCCTCAGGCTTGTGTTCTTGCGGCAGTTGCTTCAGCTCGCGATTTGACAGGGTGTCGACGGCGAAGGACAAGTTCGAGGCCATCAGGACTTCTCCGTCCCTTCGGTGTTGCGGATGGAGATAGAACTCATCACAGAGGCGCCGGTGGCTCCCCGGCCGACGAAGATACGGGCGTGACGGGCAGCTCGCCGCCCGCGGAGTGTCCAGTCCATCGCTCAACAGCCCTTTTCATTCATAGCTACAGTATCTATCTCGTACACGCTCTCTCTTAGCAGATTACATACTAGTTGTACAATGGATTGGCCTTGCGACCAGTCCGCCGCCCAAACAAATGAGACCCGTCGAAAAGAGCGCTCCAACTCTGTATTTTCCCTTCGTGAGAATCGTCCTGTATGATCGTTCGCTCATGTTAACAAGGTGTGCTGCCCTCAGCATCCTCCTCGTCCTCATCCTTGTCCTTGTCCTCGACGTCGTGAATATATCAAGCACCAACTCTTTCTGGGCGCCAGATCTCCCTCACACTCGTATGCTCTGCAAGCGTGCTGATAGCCTTGCCAATAAATCCCATTTTCGAAGTAGGTTTTGACTCGCTGTGGTATCTTCTGTCGCTTTTCGAGCTGGAATGCCTAGAGGCCCGTGGTCGATCCTCTGAATCTTCACGCTTGCTGCTCTGCTCTTTGTGGTACCTGTGTTCGCGATGCTCTCCGTGGCGGCTTCGCTCCTTGTCTCGATATTTGTCCTTGGAAGTGTCGGGGTCGTTCACCTTGATCATCAGAAGAGGCCTGGTATCGCTTTCACCTGTGCCCATCCTCTTCAGGATGCTAGGAATAACCGTGCCTCCAGAGGAGCTGCCGCCACTTCCGGAACCAGTAAAACTTGGTTGCCTAGCTTTCCTTTTCGGTTCGCTGGGGATATCGGTTGCGGTGTCGTGAGGTGACTCGAGGGTCAGGTCTCTCTCTTTGCCTTTCCGTCTGTCTTCGTGGACCGTTTCTGTCTTGCGGTGAGCATTCTCAACAAGCTTTTGCCTCTCCTTTTCCTGGCGTCGCCTACGTTTCCTCTCTTCTTCAACAGCAGTTTCGGCTGCTTCGCGCCTTTTGCGTTCCTCCTCCTTTCTTGCTGCTACCTCTGCCTCCTGCCTTTTGCCGGCAGCTACTTCTTTAGCAGCGTGTCGCTCTTTTCTGGCCCTTCTCTGTTCGTCTCTCTCGCGTTCTTTCTCCTTGGATTCGGCAGACTCGTGGCGGCTGTGTCCTTTCTCCTTAGTCTTTTTGGTAATCTCTCGAGCAATCGCACTGTCGAAGAGACCAGCTTCACCCCTCTCCCGTTCAAGCTTCGCCCTGTGCCCATTCAATGGGTCCTTTAAATGACGTTCTCGCTTCTCGTCCTGGTGTTTCCTCCGCCTTTCTTTCTTGTCCCTCGACACCTCCATCGCCACAAGCACGGCTGCTGCGCCAACAGCTGCGGCGGCAGCTGCCTCTGCGACTGGCGGCATTGATTCGGTTTCTGGCTCTATACCCCTGGCTACTTCTGGTTCGTCGCTCGCGGGAGCGTCTTCGGAGGCCGCAGGCGCTTCTTCCGGTGGTGCTGGAGTATCATCTGTAGGTGAAGCTCCTTCCTCTGCTGGGGCATCCTCTGCAGGTGGAGCCGATTCGTCCGCAGGTGCAGCATCATTCGGAGCGGTTTCTTCGCTTGGAGGCTCCTCTTCAGCTGGAGCTTCTTTGGTAGGGGCTTCTTCAGAGGCCACTTCATTGGACGGCTCATCTTCTGGAAGAGCCTCTTCGACAACCGGCTCATTGGCGGTGGGTGATTCTTCGGTGGGAGTCTCTTCTCCAGGCGCCTCTTCAGGAGTTGCCTTGTCGGCAGCTGGTTCTTCAGCAGCTTCTTCCTCGGCGGGGGCGTCTTCAGGGGCAGCTTCCTCCTCGGTGGGAGCGTTTTCCCCAGCCGGGATATCTTCGACGGCAGCTTCTTCCTCGGCGGGTGGTGCTTCATCACCGGGCGGCGCTTCTTCAGCGGGCGGCGCTTCTTCAGCGGGCGGCGCTTCTTCAGCGGGCGGCGCTTCTTCAGCGGGCGGCGCTTCTTCAGGGGGTGGTGCTTCTTCCGCGGGAGCTTCTGCCTCTGTGGCAGCTTCTTCGGTGGCGCCTTCTTCGGCAGGCGCTTCTCCAGGGGTTGGCTCCTCGGAAGCTGATTCTGCAACAGCGGCTCCTTCGGCGGCTGTCGCTTCAGTCGCCGACCCTTCAGCTGAGGGTTCCTCTGGAGGTGCTTCTTCTGAAGCCGGGTCCCCGGCGGGAGCCTCGTCGGAAGCGGCTTCAATAGATGCTTCCGTATTCTCAGTCGGCTCGGGTGCATCTCCCTCCGCAGCTGCTTCTACAGACTCATTGTTTTCCTCGGCGGGTGGAGCGGAGTCGTCGGCAGCAGGTGGTGCGTCTTTTGGTTGATCCGAAGTATCAGTTGGAGGTTCCTCGGCCTCCTCTGTCGCCTCACCATCTGCAGGAGCATCTGTTTCAGCTGGCTGCTCCTGTGCTACTGCAGAAGCTTCGACTTCATCACCACCCCCTTCGTCTGCAGAAGGCTCTGCTTGTTCTGGTTGCGCTGCCTCGTCCTGGGGTTCTTCTGAATCGCCGCCGGCTACTTCCTCGGTCTGTTCATCGGCAGGTGTCTCGTCGGCTGCGACGTCTTCAACAGCGGGTTTGTCATCGCTGGGGCCGTCCTCACCCGGGTCAAGATCCTCCGTTGCTGGTAACTTTTCAGCTTCATTTTCCTGTGGAGATAGCTGCTCGACGGGTCCATCTGGCTTGTCTTCTGAGGAGTTGTCATCATCCGTTTTAGCCTCCTCAGCCGGTTGTTCAGCTGGAGGCTCTTCCGAGGCTCCATCCTTGTCCTCTTCACCAGCTGGGTCAACAGGAGATGATTCAGCCGGCTCCTCTTCGGCTGCATTTGTCGGAGCGGCATCAGCTTCGGTGCTGTCCGCGGAGGGCTCGGTTTGCTCTGCATCCGCAGCTGGCTCTGCATCCGCTGCAGCAGCCTGTGGTTCGTCTTCTTTATCTGCTACGGGTTGCACTGTAGCGCTTTCTTCCGTCGAACCAGTCTCCTCAGTCACCGGATCCGGTGAGGACTCGGTGGCCTCTTCGGCTTCTGTAGGAGATGGCTCTTTATCAGGCGCTGGAGAATCAGGTCCAGCTCCAACGTCCGACATGGCTTGTTCCAGTACCTCCGTAATCTCTTCCGGGGGCGCGTCGTCAGCCTGCATCTTTTCGACGATTTCGACGACGGTCTCGGGCTCCGGATGCTTGTCACCTTCACTTGAGTCGACGGCTGTAGCTGCTTGTGAATCATTCGACTCGTCATCTCCAGGCGAGTCGGTAGCTGCCTCTTCTGTGGGCACGTCAACAGATTCTTCCTTCGGCGTTTCAGACTCGGTTTCTTCTGTTGTCCCGGTCGATTCGCCACCAGCAGCATCGGCAGCAGCATCAGCTGGAGCATCATCCGTCGGCTCCGGGGTCTATGAAGTCAGCAAGTGGCACTGTCAGGTTTGGGATGCTATGATTCAAGATCTCCACCCAGAAGATGAGGTTCAATGTCAAGATCGTGACTGACATCACGCCGGTCACGCTAGAGGACGGATGTTTTGCACAGTATTATCAACTTACCGTTGGTTGCTGATCCGATTCCTCTGTCGCCGCATCCGGCTCAGCATCTCCGCCTGTGAAGAGCCTGTCAGTCTGAATCATCCTAGTAGGGTATCTATCCCGCCTACCTTCATCTCCGTCCTTCTCTGGTTCTCCGGTCATTGTCGCTTGGTCGGGCTCGGTAGGAGCCGCTGTATCTGCATCGCCGGTCGTGACTGTGTCTGGCAACCGCGTTAGAGCATCAAACTAAGAACAGAAACTCCAAACTTGCCGTTTGCTTCTGCTGGCGCATCATTCTGAGGTTCTGGATTGTCCTCCGAAAGCGGAGGTTGTTCTTCTTCCGGCTTCATCTGGTCGTCAGCAAATGGCTTGCTGGGATATAATCGGTCGGGCGGTATGATGGGGTGGAAAGAAAACGAAACGGCGCTTGGATCAAAGGTCTGATAACCATAGGTAGGAAGTTGCGCGTACTGGAACGGATAATGGAACGGTCGTGCCATCTCCGTTATCCTGGTTGGACTGATCAGACCAGATATCAAGAGTCTTCTTAGCCTTCCTCTTTTTATTCTTTCCCATTGCAAGTTAGATGCCTGGGGTGTGTATGGACGTCGCTAAGGCAGAGTTGTCGAAGCTGCCAATCGCCTCCCTCACCCGAGAATCACGAGCTCTGCGGGATGATCGGAAAACGAGGTGACGTTACGATACCGGATAGAAACGGCAGGGTAGAGAAGCGAAGAACTCGTAAAACATCAGAGGCATGTATAAGGAGAAAGGAATGGCTGCAAGACACATGGTGTTGCGACATCTGGTTGAACAGAGGACAGGTCTGTGAAGCCCAAACCTGGTCCTTGCGTCGGGACTCATGTCTGCGGCCAGAATGAGCGCCACGAGCATCAGACCCCATTTTGGGATAAGCAGATTTTGGCAATTGGACCACGTCGACGATGACAAGTCGGTGCGGCGCAACTTTGGACGGCGCATTCAGCGGCAGTCATGCAGACCAATGCGGGATGGAACTGACGAAAACCAGTATAAGTCTGAGTCAAGGTCAGACAACTGCAATAAGGACTGGATAATCCGTGCGAATGTCCGCAATTGGGTGAAATGTGCATGAGGCTGGCAATGATTGGGCCGTCTACGTGGCGGAAGGTCTTCCTAGATTGATGCCCAACTCATCACTGGTCAGCAAGAAGGAAAAAAACTCTGTGGATGAAGGGAGTCCTCATCCTTGCTGTAGTCTGGAGGTGACGTGCCATGTGTTTCGATTTGCCAGAAGCAATGCAGCGAGCTGGAGCCACTGAGACCAGTTCGTTCGGGACGTGAAGGGTGTTCATTGAGAGACGCACAAGAACGGGATCCCTGCGGAGGCCCAGCGGCGCACATCACTCTAGTGTCGCAGTGTCAAGTCTTTAGGCGCGGGAGAGCTCATGAGAAGGGCTGTTATTGGCGACAGCACGGTTGGCAGCCACCATCCTTGACGAAAAATAACGGTTATCAATGGTATGAGAGAAATCTGGTAATGAACGAAGCATCAGAACTTGAAAGTTGCGGGTCGAGCCGAACACCGACCCGGAGAGCAAAGTCCGCTGCTCCTGATTCATCAAACATTCACTCAAGACTCACCCAGGGCTCACCCCCGCTTCGACTGTGTATGGCCTCTTCCTGTGGCCCTCCCTTCTGAGTGGTGCTTCACTTTCAACACGCGCATCTTATTGGGCGGGCGAGGTACAGGCCCTGAGTCATAATGATAAAATCACCGTAGCTGAGGAAGTTATCACGTGTTGGTTGGCTGCGACGGTCTATCTACACAAACAGACCAGAAAATGATCAGCCGTTGTGTTGGCGCTTCTGGGTGTACTCTATGGTCGCTTCATGTTGATGTCAACCTAACTGTCTATCCATATTTTCCCGCCAACCCGGGCCGTAGCGCTTCATAGCCCAAATAACGGAGGCACTCGACAGTGCCCAAAGCCCGAGAATAGTAAACAACCAGCCATTCCCAATGGCTGCAATCAGTGGCGCCCCAACGACGGCGCCAACGCATGACAAAATGTTCCGGCATAGATTGTTCAAAGCTACGCCAGAAGATGATCGACGTGGCATAAACTCTGTCAACATGGTTGTGGACATGGCGAAAATGATCATGGACCCGAACCCATAAAAGAAATTCGCAATTATCTGTTCCACACGTGTCAGCCACTGCACGGTACCTGCATGACACAACAGGTGGTACTTTGGAATGTGTCGGAATGACTCACTGGTGCTAGCCAAAACACCCCTTTCTGCACGGTCCAACCGTACCAGATCAGAGCGCACGGGTACATCAGCGCGCCCAGCCACGCGTTCTCTCGCATGCGATCCTCGGGCCTGAAGATCAGCTTTCCACGCTCATCTACGCGGTTCGTCTTGATTGCTTCTCGTTTCATGATCCAGTCCATCCAGCGACCACCTATCAAGCTCGCAAGAATGTACCCGAACGAGTTGGGCAGATACAGCAGTCCGATGATGATTGTCGCATAATCATAGGGTTGTCTTTCGAATGTGTACTGGATACTGATGTTGAGTACGTATAATGAGCCGAAAGTAACCGCAGAGTAATACACCGTGAGCAGAACGGGCATGAATCGCAGGTACAAGATGACGCTGAGTGGGTCCACCAACAGCATTCGTGCAACCGTCAAGTACTTTCTCGACCTCTTTTGTATCACCTCTCGGGTTGAGGTCCGACTGAGTGGCGGGCGGTCGCTGCCGACGGTCGAAGGCGCAGTGTCTGTCACAGTGTCTGCAACCACATCCTTGGTGGCCTTCAGTGTTTCAGGCAGACCGAAGAAAACCAGCAGCCACGTCAAGACTAGCATATTGTCAGAGCTACTCCTTGTCGCATCGCCAGTGGCGAGCTTACCTCCGTAGATTACCAGGGCCCATTGAGTCGCTCTCCAATTCCAAGCTTGGCCGAGAATGCCGCCCACTATAGGCGCGAGCAAAGGACCGCACAAGGGTCCCAGATAGAAGATGCCCATCGCTCTGCCTCTCTCCCGAGACTCCCAAATGTCGGCGATCGTCCCTGCACCAACCGCCTGAACGGAGGCAGCCGCGCCACCCGCAAATAGGCGGACGGTAATAAGCATGGATATCGAATGGGAGATAGCGCTCAGGACAGAGAATACAATGAACATGGTAAAGGAGGTGAGGTATACAGTACGCCGCCCAGCAGTCTCAGAAAAGGTTGACCACCACAGAGGAAAGATGGCCATGCTCAACATATACAATGCAACAGACAGATTGGTGGTGGTTGGGTCGGTATGAAGACTGTTCGCCACATCGTCAAGAGTTGCTGGACGGCATAGTCAACGACATTGTCCCATCAATGGCAGCACGAGAAAACATACGCAATATGATGGCACTGCCCACCGGTGCTGCAGCGGCAGCAATAGCCACGACAAAGGTGATGACCCATTTTGTGCTATCCTTGTAGTCATACGGATCCGTAACCTCGGCTGTCAAAGAGAACCGAGCAAACAGCCCGCGTCTTTCTGCCCGCGAGACCTTGACAATAGGTTTCTTGGGTGTTACGGTCCTAGCCAACACATCGTCGGCGTTTTCAACGTCGTGTGCATCCGCGACAGTCGATTGCCCAGAGCGCTGAGAGTGGATAGATCGGGTGTCCGAACCGGCTTCGGCATCTTCCTCTTTCCCGGACTTATCGTTTGACGATGTACGGTATAAAATATCTTCACTGGCAGGAAGTTTCTCGACGTTATCGAACGACATCGGCGCAACAAGATGGGCGAGGGGAGGCGGCCGAGCGTGAACAAGACGTCAAAGAGTCTGCTGGCCAAGTCATTCCTCGAGCACAGAATGTTGGGAACTGAATGTTCGCTCAAATCAAGTTATATGGTATGGAGAACGCCGAGTTGATGCTGGAAAAGAGCATATTCAAGATACGGTGAGCTGCATATGAACCTGATACAGTCTGGCAAAGTCGTCGAGGCCAGGGATACAACCGACATAGTGTTCAGCAGATGAGATGGACGTCCGCGGCGGCCAAAGCGAGGGTATTTGCAGTTACCCGGCGCATGAGAATCGAATTCTCGTGGGCCATGCCCCATTGTCGCAGCAAACAGCCAATGACGACAGAAACGTAGTGGGGTTAAGCATTGATAGCCGGCATCTTCTGCAATCAACACAGATGGAGAAGAAGGCGCTGATGAATCTATGGGCTTTATCGTGCCGTTTTGCCGAGGAGAGATGGAAAGGCGCAGTTGGCGGCACCCGGGAGGGAGCAGGAATACATTCGAAAACGGAAAGACTTGCTGCGTCTTGGCTTTTGATTCGCCTGAACCTCAGGCTTACCACAGTACGGAGTGTACGGCCGCAGCAATTTTGATGATGGCCAGGACGAGGGAGAATACCACTGCTAAGCTTGCCTTTGCTGTGTAGACTAACTGTGCCGCTACGCCCTTCTCGATCCTTACGTCAAGATCGATTGTAAAAGAACCCATGATGCTTTGTTGTTCACCTGTGGTGCTACCCATCAAGCACGCGCAGGCAAGCGGTAGACCAGCAAATTCAGGTACCCCATCAGGTACGATTCCAGATCCTGTATGGAACGGCCGCTAGG